TAAATGGTGGCGTTCAAGCATTTACTCAAGCTCCTTGAAACAAGAGTTTACCGGAGCTCTCAATTTTCGCCTTTTCATTGCCTTCACCATTCCAATCTTCCCTCTATTCCTTCATCAAAATGAATAACCAAATGACAGAAACCGAAAATCCCCGCATGAAACTGTATGGTTAGTGGTTGTATTAACTCAAGGTTGGATTGCAAACATTACCAATGTCATAATTTCCCAAGACGGTGCGCAGTAGAAAATAGTTGTTTATTATCGATTTCAGTTGGGATATCACTAATGAGACATAATATAATACATAAATTTCGTCATCAAAGTTCTTGGCAGCACAACGAGTAATGAATGTAGCAATCGATAGTTATTCTTTGAGACTCAGCAAACTGGCCTCGGTGATCTTGTTAATTGTTGATCGTTCAAATAAATCGTCAACTATGTTACCTATTGCTACTCGCAAATGTGAGTAATACCTCACGACAAAAAGACTGCTTTTCCCTTAATATAAACAATTTTAATTTCAATCCATCCGCAAAGAAGCGACTTACCATTCGTGAACAAATTGATCACTGAGATAAAAATCGATCGGTGTTCACGACGATATTTCTTTTCGATACAACGCATCAGTACAGATATTAGCTGACTATTAGCTGATTACAGCTCAGTTTATAATGAGGACAGAAGTGAGCAAGCGAAGCAAACGAATGTACCAATGCTATCGGTAGCCGCCAACGCTAGAGGAGAGAGAGGTGAGAGGACAAATAAAATAGCGACACAGAGATGAGTTGATTATAAATGATGAAAGCTGCTAGCTCAGGTAACAGACAGACAGACAGACAATCCATTGGACTACTCATATTGTAATAAAATGATCTGTCAATCTGATTTATTCCCACATCTATGTGGGTTACCTCATTGGGAAATTAAACGAAAACTAGAAAGCACACTTGAATTCTTCAACAAGTTTGGCTACACACTTATAAGTTGGGGTCGTGAGACAGCTAGCTGTGGGAGGTAATGAGATTTGAACCATTACAGATGGTACGCTCTGGTGTCATGCATTGAACGCTATTCTCCCGCGTAATATTGATCACTGCTCACGTTGAACATGAACGTACATAAAGTGCCCGAATCACGTCCGTTCTACGGTAAACATATTGATCAAAGAAGTTTTCAAAATCAGAGAAAAATTCGTTTCAGAAAACTCACATCCGCTAAACTGATAAAACAAATTTCTTTGTAGTCAGCGGATGAAACAATGCTGTTAGAAAAGAGTGAGCAACGCACATTCGGAGGACAATTTCATAACCGACGAAATGGCATACTTATCTCGTTAGGTTTTTTGCGAACTAACTAAATGATTTTGACAGATCTGAGAACACCAAATTTGTTTTAACTTAGACAATAAAACATGATGAAACAAACGGAGCCGCAAATCCCATTTTCCAAAACTTCCTGTGCAATATTCAGCACTGACTTGTGGAACCGTTCATTCAGAGTGCCTTGCAAAAACCTCATAGCAAAAATCGGTGCGTACAAACTACCTGGAGATAAACAGAATATCTTAAAATGGCAGTATTTCGGCAGCTGAGAATCCATTAGTCTAATGAATGCCGATTGGGAGTGAGTAGACGCCCAAAAGGAAGCTAGGTAAAATCTGGTGAGGCTGAACGTCAGTCAGTGTGAAACATGCGACCCAACACACACCTCGCCTCCGCAAATCTTTCATGTCGTTGAGTCTTAACCTTGACACCCTGGGTCAAGGACCGTTCCCAGTCCGAAAATGTACGGACTCAATCAAATTCATTGATCAGAGTCATTCATTCATTTGACGTACTAACGTATCACTCCCGTAAGCAATTTACATCCCAAGTATGACCCCGATCACAGCTCTGTGGTTCATCATCGTGTTCGCCTTCAAGCTCTTCATGGCTCTCCTCTGATTATCACTGAACTGAGTTTGGATTGATCATCCCGCACACTTCATCTTCACGCACTATTCCCAATTTCTCCCGGCAATCCCACCCCGAAGCGTTTGCCTACATATTCGCTCTGATTGAAGCTTATCAGTGGTGTTTATTCCCTGTCCCGTGAGGTTTTTGAACTCCGGACCCACTAAATGGATGGTCT